GTGTAGAGACTCTGTATTCAAATAATATCATTAGCCCAACATGGTCCATTAGCGGCGCGCTTAATGCCAGAAGAGAAAGCCCCAGGAGGGCTCACCTCCCCGCCTCACCGGGTGAGTGAGGAAACGATAAGAGTAGTGGTATTTCACTGGCGGCACCCGACGGAGCGGGGCCTCCCACTTATTCTACACCTCTCATGTCTCTTCACAATGACCGACTAGAGTCAAGCTCAACAGGGTCTTCTTTCCCCGCTGATTCTGCCAAGCCCGTTCCCTTGGCTGTGGTTTCGCTAGATAGTAGGTAGGGACAGTGGGAATCTCGTTCATCCATTCATGCGCGTCACTAATTAGATGACGAGGCATTTGGCTACCTTAAGAGAGTCATAGTTATCATAAGGTAAAAACAAATACCAAGCTAACGGTGGTGAACATTACCTTTCCCACATTGGGTAAAACACTGATGGCAGCTCTAGTTTAAACTCTGACATTTGAAGCCTGTAATGTGCTTTACTGTGAATGTTTTAGTGTTTCAGTAAATCCTTCAGTAAATACTTCAACTTGAAGCCTCACTCTGAACACTGGAGGAGGCTTTAGTACAGTACGCTTCACTTTACTTAGAGTGGACAAATACCACTTATGAGCTCTTATCATTTGTTATGATCAGTACTTATAATGTATTATGTTAACAATTCATAATGCATAATAAACATGGCTATAACGTATAATACATTTTTATAAATATTTATAGCTATGTTTATAATGTCTTATGAATGCATTATAACATGTTATGAATGTGTTTATAGGTGCTTACAAAGATGACATTCATAGAAAATGTTACGAAAAATACTAATAAATAAAGAATGATTAAACCCAGAATAGATTTTAATTTGATACAAGTACAGCGTAAAAATACTTTTTTTAAAGAAAATATTTTTAATGCATATTCATCAATTCCATATATATAATTTGTGAACAAAATCTTCAAAGAGAACACACTTTAATGAATAGATAGTTAATAAGAACTATAATAATAATAATAATAAGAAGAAGAAGAAGAAGACAAATACATTGGCTCATTTAATACCTTTATGTATGTTTCCCAATATGTTAAAGTAAAAAAAAATAAAAAAAATAAATAAAACATGAACATTTGACATTTGAGGTTTGCTCATACTTTTTTTACTTGTTTATTTGTTGTGTGTGTTTCACAGCTTTGAAGTGGAGCCTGGAAGCACTGAGAGAGGGGAATGCAAGTAAGACTTACATGTTGAAAAGAAAATTCATTTTTCAAATCCTTTATTAGAAAGCTTTATGAGATATTTCTGCATAAACCTCAAAAATACACATATGCCAATCTAACAAAATGGGTTTGTGGCCAGGTGTAACATGAGGATCATGTAGGTTGTTTGCAGGAGTGAACTGGTTTCATTTGGGGCAGTCCAACACTCACAATAAGAAAAAGAGGCAGATCCATAAGAGGCAGATCTATATTGGAAAACCAGAAAGACAAGGCAAAGGTCAAAACAGTGGAAATACCAACACAAAGTAACACGGCCTGGAGCTCAGTAGAGAAACGGGCACTTCACAAACATACAGGTAACCTGTACATATATGGGAGTCTTAGGCCCAATCCCATTTCACCCCTCACCGTTACCACTTAGCCCTACCCCTCCATTTTACGTGTTCACTTCTAGGGGTAGGGTGTCCTGATTTTTGTTGAGATAGAGGGGTAGGTAAGTGTTAAAACTGAAGTTTTCCAGAGTCACTCTCCAAACAGAGTGAACTAGCGAGATGGAGCACAAGCAACCAAAGAAACCCACAAATGTGTTTTCTGTTAGAAAATTACAATAATCATTGCATTATTATGGCCCGTTTCTTCATAGCAAGTATAAAACATTGCTAGTACTATGCTGATGTCTCAGTAGCTAGCTAGCTAAATTCCCTGTTCCACCTTAAACCATAAAATGAAGAGACCTCACAAAGCCTAAGGCCAAACAAAGAGGTATATATGTCCATAAACTATTTGCAGGTGTGTGTAATGATGGAGAGGTTGATTCAGGGAGCTGGAAAAAGTTATTTCAGACTGGGCAGGTCCAAATGGGGGAGATTCTGTGATAGCCAACAATTCAACACACCAAAACAGCTGCAATGTGAGATTTTCTTTATGTTGAAATTAAAAGAAGTACAATAACTGAGTCAGAAAACTGAAAACGGGCTAAAATATGGTGAGAGTGCGCTGCTGCGAGTCTCCCTGTAAAGCCTCAAATAATCATTTAAAACTGGTGTCGGGTTGGGAGTTTATCGGATCACATCATACGTCTTTACATGTTAACGTCACACTCAAAAAGAAGGTCCGGCTCGATGTTTAGGCCTCAAATGCTGAATTGACGTTATACTAATGAAGATAATTTACTCACATCCTCACACGATGCAACCTTCACCAAATTTAGAGGCCTCTTTGAATTCTCTTTCATAACATGGGTTTCAAGGCGAAACCCATGTTACAGAATGTTCTTCCGCACATTGCATGCAATTATGTTTCCACAAGAGAGATCTCCAAATCACCAAAACTTGCTTTAAATACAGAAAAAGATGGCATGTTTATGTTTACAGACGTTCGGAAGGTGGCGTTCTTATTTGGTTCAGGCTTAAATGGTGTCTTTGGGCCTTTCAATGTTGAAACCACACTGATTTTCAGAAAACAAATCACAAATGTTGGGAACGCCTACAGTCCAATCACAGGTAAATGAACAGTCAGTACAGAGACAGTGTCTGATGTCTGGTTTGGTTCTTCTCTCTGGTGGTGTAGAGACTCTGTACTGATCCATCTGTTTCTCCTTCTGCAGGTGTTTTCACTGCTCCACTCAGAGGAGTCTATTACTTCAGGTTTAATGTATTTGGTAGCAACTCATACTGGATGACTATAGACTTGTATAAAAATCAAGAGCGAATCATAACTGCAGCTGAATATCCAGGGGGGCAGCATGAATACTCTGTTGGTGGTGCCACTCTGCTGCTGCAGAAAGGAGATCTTGTGTATCTTAAGCTCCGCGCTACCTGTCAAATTTATGACAGTGCTGACAACCATTCCACTTTCACCGGCTTTCTGCTGTTTCCCATGTGAAGTGCTTTAATCACTGGAAAAAAGCAATCAGTTTGCTGCATTTGTGTAAAACTTCCCATGCAAAAAAAAACAAGAAATAAAAATATATCATGCTGCAAGTACACTGTGCTTGATTCTGAAATGTATTCAAAAGAACTACACTTTATTTCTTTTAGGATATATGATCTAGAATCAATGTTTTACTATACATATGGGCAGGGGGATAAAATATGAAGTCTTAAATATGCCAGAAAATGTTTTTTTATTTTATTTTATTTTAGTTTTTGCTGAACAGCCTGGTAAATTCATGCAACTACATTTAATACGTTTAATTCATTTAATTTGAACCAGAAGTATTTTTCAATTTGAATACAAAATAAGTGAGAGAAACTATATTCATCCATATAAACATAATTAGTGAAATCAGGTCCATAAGTATTTGGACAGTGGCACATCTTTGTAATTTTGCCCTTGTACACCACCACAGTGGATTTGAATTGAAGCAGTCAATATGTGATTGAAGTGCAGACTTTCAGCTTTAATTTAAGGGATTTAATTAAAAATTGCATTAATTGTTTGGGAATTACAGCCACTTTTTTACATAAACCCTCCGTTTTCACAGGAGGGTAATCAGACAGTTGGCTGATAAGCAGTTTCATGGCCAAGTGTGACCTGTTCCCTTGTCATTTCCACAACAGATTAAAGAGATAAAATGTCTGGAGTTGTTTCTAAGTGTTAAATATGCATTTGGTAGCTGTTCATGGAAACTCTCAATGTACAGTCCAAAGAGATGTTGATGCAAGTGAAGGGGGTCATCATTAGGCTGAAAAAACAAAACAATCCTATCAGAGATAACAGAAACTTTAGGAGTGGCCAGATCAACAATTTGGTACATTGTTAAAATACGGAATGCAACTGTGAGCTCTGCAACACGAAAAGGCCTGGAAAAACTATTAAAGTGGACGATTGCAGAATTCTTTCAGTAGTGAAGAAAAACATTCACAACATCCAATCAAATTTAAGATCTCAAGATGCAACCACTGGCATCACTCAAAAACAGAAAGGCCTGATTACACTTTTCTAGAAAACCTAAAAAGGGAGCCTGCTTAGTTCTAGAACAAGATTCTTTGGACAGATGGAACCAAGACTAACTTGTACCAGAATGATGGGAAGAGAAGAGTATGGAGAAGGAAAGGAAGAGTTCATGATCTGAAGCATTCCACACCATCTGTTGAACATGGCGGAGGTAGTATTGTGGCACGGGCGTGTATGTCTGTGGGCCCGGGTCACTGGTGTTTATTGATGATATCACTGCTGGTTTCAGACAAACCCACTGCAAACAGGTGTATAAATCAAGCAGATGGCCATGCAATCTCTTTAGACAAAGAACTCATGGCTTTAAATGTGCCACTGTTATAGGATGCCACCTTCACCAGGATTTAGGATCGCTAGGCACAGTGCTAAACATCAGCTGGAGTGGTGTAAAGCACTGCCCCTCGCCGACTCTGGAGCAGTGGAAACGTTCTCTGGACTGATGAATCACGCTTCACTATCTGACAGTCTGATGATAAATCTGGGTTTGGCGGATGCCAGGAGAACTTTACCTACTGGAATGCATAGTGTCAACAGTAAAGTTTGGTGGAGGAGGAATAATGAGCTGGGGCTGTTTTTCAGGGTTTGGGCCGGTTATTTCCAGTGGAGGGTGATGTTAATGCTACAGCACACAAAGACATTTTGGACAATGGTATGCTTCCAACTTTATGGCAACAGTTTGGGGAAGGACTTCCACTGTGCACAAAGCAAGCTCCATGAAGATGATTTGATAAGCTTGGTGTGGAGGATATTTATCTCCAAAATCCTAACAGCATCTCTGCCAATAAAGAGCTAAATAAACTCATACTGGTGATTTCTCTTGCTATTACAGACCATTGTTTTAAAAATCTTTGTTATTTTTTTTCAAAATATAGCAGCATTTAGCTTGAAACGTAGCAGCTGAATGTGAGCAAACCAAAGGGAGAATTTACTCGTATCTCTAATTTACTGTTGCCTGACTGATAGAGGTCATTGCTAGTTATGTCAGTTAATCTGAATTGACGAGATATAGCAATAATAATATAATAATGTAGAGTTTTCTTTAAATGGAATTTAAACTGTTGAGTATTTACACAAAGTTGCATATGCACACTCATTCTTTCCTTTAACAAAGTCAGTTTGGGAAATGTAAAGAAAAGAAGACATTGCAGCGTGTAAAATATTGGATTTGTAGACAGGTTGAATGCGCAGAGTATATTTATTAGGGCAAATCTAATACTTAGTCATCACATGCTGGGGTCAAACACCAGGCAGGCAGGTAAATCTTATTATTTTGGTTCACTAAAAAAAAATAAGAAGAAAGGCAATTAAGCTTCATCTTGTGGGTCATTTTTGTTAATTATGCATATTTTTGCATTTATGGAAAGTTGCTCTGGCCACCTTATTGATAACAATTGCTACTGAAATTTTAGTATAGATAAAAAATCTCAGTTATCAAAGCACTTTACAACAAGCAACAAAATTCAGCTTTTTAACCGGCTTCTTAGTTTTGATCATGGAAAGGCAAACTCACAAGCAGCAAAAAAGGTGACAAGTTCAGGGGTTTATAATGGTTCATAAGGCATTTGTGCTTGGACCCCAGTGATCACAGATCGGGATATCATGTGTAAACAGTTCTCATAGCGAGGTTAAGCCCCTAAGATACAGACTTACCATGTGTAAATTATTCTTAATTACTTTTTTTTTTTTATCTTTTGTTCAAAATATTAGCAAAAATCTAACATACATCATCTAAACCACCTATCCTTCTGGGTCGCGGTGGGGTGCCGGAGCCCATCCCAGCCGTCATTGGGCGGAAGGCAGGATACACCCCGGACAGGTCGCCAGTCCATCGCAGGGCAGACAGACAGACATACACAGTCACACAGTCACTCACACCTAGGGGCATTTTAGCATGTCCAATCAGCCTGACTGCATGTCTTTGGACTGTGGGAGGAAACCGGAGTACCCGGAGGAAACCCACGCAGACACGGGGAGAACAGGCAAACTCCACACAGAAATGACCCTGGCCGCCCGTTCTTGCTGTGAGGCGACAGCGCTACCCACTGCGCCACCGTGCTGCCCCCAAAAATCTAAACCTTACTTAAAATATAATGAATGAAAGAAAAAAAACTAAATCTTATCGTGAAAAAAAAATTTCACTGGGGAATAAATATGAGACGAAACACAGGTCAAATTCCCTCAGTCATCCATCACTATGAGAAAGGTCAGAAAAAAACAGCAATTATGTGTGAGTAAAGGTTGTTCAGCTGCACGTATCAGGAAATGACTACAAGAAAATAGCTAAGAAGCTGAAAATGGAGAATGTGCTGTAGATGGTTCTATATAGAACCTTTTTGAAAGGGCTTCTATATAGCACCAAAAAGGGTTCTTCTATTGTTACAAGATTGACATCGTACCAATAGAAGAACCATTTTTGGTGCTATATAGAACAATCTACAGCACATTCTCCATCAATCCGAAGAAGAACTATTTAAATATGCAAATAACTTTTAATTATGCAAACTTGAATTTTTCATTATTCTATATAGAAGCATTTTCTTTACTAAAAAACTGAAGAACTATCATGTTTAAGAGTGTAGACTTAAAACACTGTAGGTTCCAAATCTGCAGTAGAATTCCTTTTTGTACTCACTGTATACAATATATATGGTAATATGGTAAATTAGTTCATATTGTAAACTAACCAGCAAATGAAACGCCTCACCTTAGAGCAGACAGTGTTGTGGGTCTGCATGTTCAGCTGATGGTGAGGTTAACCACACAGATTGATCCAAAGATGTTTTAATGTCTGTTCTGTCTTTGGAACTGAGTGGAAAACAACTACCTTCAAAATCCCACACATCTTACCACCATATCTGGAGTTTCATGTTCAGATCTGATACACTGGCTGAACTGAAGACTTGACCAGGGTAATGGCAAAAAGACATGGTTGCTAAACAGTGATTGGAGGACCAACAGAATAAGATGGGGACTGGGAGTGGTCTGTCAAAGAAAGGGGCAGTTAAACAAGCAGGAATCAATAATGATATATTTGTAAAGATTTGGATGATATTTTAGCACCCAGCGGTCACTGGACAGGTCGCCAGTCCATCTCAGGACTGCTGTGACAGGCTCCAGCTCCCCCCACGGCCCAGAAGGATAAGCAGCTTAGAAAATGTGTGTGTGTGTGTGTGTGTGTGTGTGTGTGTGTATTTTAGTACCATTCTTGCATTAAATGATGAGTGATTAGAGAAACTCAGCATTGAACAGCTGTTCACACATAAAATCATCAAACTGTTATAACGCTGGAAATTACAATCTTGCACAGGGTATCAAATGCACTACTGGACATAAATTAGATGAAGCTTGGATGACCCAAATTTCAAATGTGTAGCAGATGATAGATTCCCATCCTTTTTTTATATTTATCTCAAGATCAAGGCCAAAGCATTGGCACCTGTTGTGAAATCCCTCAGTAACGCTAAGTCTGAAGTGACCGTATAAAAGGAGTCCAATGAGAGACTCTATACACTGTAAATATCTCAGGATGAGGGTCAGTGTGGTTCTGCTTTGGGTCTGCTTGTCTTGTATTCAGCTCCAGAGAGGTGATGACCAGCTCACAGTGGACAACGTGCGGTCTGGACTGAATAGAATTCAGAACCAGAGTCGTGTGGAGAGATCAGAGCTGAATCCAAACCAGCCCGATGTGTGGACTGAGCTGAGGGAGCTGAGGGACATGGTGGTGGAGCAGAGGGTGCAGCTGCAGTTCAGTCAAAGCCAGATTGTGGAGCTGAAGAAAGAGAACACAGGTAAATCAAGTGAAGTCACTTTTTCCCTAAACATCTTTTTGTTCTCAAAAACTGAGACTTATTTCACTGAAAACTGAAATGCTTAACGTCTAACCTATAAATATTGCTGGGTTTAAGACTGTTAGCACTGTTGAAGGTGCTTTGAGGGAATGTAGAAATAAGGCTTTATCACAAAAATGCAGAGGAAGGAAACTTTATTCTCTAATTGTGCTGAACAAGAAGCAGAAAACATAACAACTCACCAGTGCAAGTGCAAGGAAAGCCTTGTTCAGTAGCCTCTTAAAGGGCCAGAACTCCGTGTGTGTCTGACTGCCTGTCTGTGTGTGAACGAGGTCAGCGTGTCCACAGTAGCCCCTACACAGTTCTACTTTTACCCTACAAGAGTGGACAGAGTGAACGTAAACAAATATAACCCACTCTTAAAATTGTTTAATTACCTATTTACTTAAATAAAAAATGTCAATGTAATTTTTAAAGAAAAATCAGTGCTTCATGTTATTTTACATTGTCCCATTTTTGTTTACCTTTTCATTATGATTCCCACATATTAGTGTTGTTTAAGGTTTTTCCATTTTAATATTGTATTATCTTTAATGTTATTGTATTTAAGCCATAAACAACAGACTGCTGGCAAGTGAGAACCAAGTGGAGGAACTGAAAAAAGAAAATTCAGGTAAAGAAATAAATAAAAAAGGTCAAACTGCATTCTGTGTCCAGCTGGGTCATTCCATGGTAACTGATTTCCATGAAAAAATTCAAATAAACACTTTTATTGAATGTACCATTGCAGTTTTTTATTATTATTAAATTACATCTTAAATATTCAGATCAACTATTCACTGAATTGAGCTGCAATTTTACATCTCTATATTCTAACACAGTGATTCATGATATTCATGTATATATTCAGATAATTTAAGATCTCCTCTTTAACGCTGTTTAACATTATTGTGTTTAAGCCATTGACAACAGACTGCTGGCCAGCGAGAGTCAAGTTGAGGATCTGAAGCTAAAGTTAAATTTCAGGTAAAATTCAAAATTGTAACTTGACAGGAAAGGGTGAAAATGTTCTTTACTTTTAATATGAGGTAATTTATTTTATTATTTTTAGGTAATTAGGTTTTATTCAAAGAAATTTTATTTAAAGAGATGTATTCATAATTTTCAATATTCCAAATTTGGATCATTTAACATGAAATTTTCACGTAAAGGTCAGCTGACGAGTTCAAAAAATGTAAAAAGTAAAAAACAAAACTTTTTGGGACAGCAGTGATATTCTGTTCAGTCTACACCTGGTGGGCTGCATCATGGATTTTCATAAAGAAACAAAAAATTGGGCAACCATGCAAAATTTTGAAACTGAATTCCAAATACTTTTTTAATAAGGACCTTTTTAAATTTGCCCCATCACATTTTTAATTGTAATGATGTAAGTCTTTACATAATACTTTAACATAACAGAATTTAATTTCAGCCCCATTAGGCTGTGGTAAACATGTAAAATAATAATAACAAATACAAGCATTACCTTTGGTTTAATGTGCTCACAAGCAAACAAATGTGGAATCACAATGAACCTCAACCCTCTCAGGTGGATGATGTTGTATGTGACATCAAAGGACGTCATAGATGAAAGAAAAAATATTTATGGAGCACTGCATTCTAGAGACTTACTTTCATTTTGCCTGGGAGGGTAGCATTGTTCCATCAGCAAGTCAAGAACACAGCCTCCGATTGGTCGACAGTCAGGAGCGCAGCCTCTGACTGGTCAACAGACTCAACCCAAGGTGTCAGTGGACAGCTAACAGCCATGCTAACAACAACAATAACTCTTTTCGACATGGAGAAACAGATAAATCACAGAAGACGTTCAATGTTGGGTTTGTCATTATAATCATAAACTACAGCCATCACAAAATACCTAATCAACAATAAAGGAAACATTCTAAAATACACATACAGCTCCATAGCTGGTGTGTGGTAAAAGACCACCTTAACCAAGAGGGAAGAGTCCTCTCAGAACCAGAAGCCTTGTAGCTGTGGTGCACCGTCTCTCAAGCGACTGGTCCCAGGAGCCTCCTAGCTGTGGTGTAGAGTCGCTCAAGTGGTCAGCTCGGGAGGCCTCATAACTGCAGTGTAGCATCAATCAAACACTTGCTTCATACAGCCTTGTTACTGAGGTGTAGAGTTGCTCAGATGGCCGGCCCAGGCAGCCTTGTAGCTGCAGTGTAGTATCACTCCACTCGAGTGGCCAGTCAGGAGCCTCCGTAGCTGTGGTATAGCGTCCAAGAGGCCAGTGCCTATTTTATTGGAATGTTCACTTCTTAGCCCGTGTGTAGTGTTGATGTGTTTGTTACTCAGTGGTCTGGAGGACCCATCACATTATCGGGCTTTAAATCAATACAGCCATAACAATTTATATAAAAATACCAGATGTTAAAATACCAGAAGTGGCCAGCGTAGGGTTCTCCTTTAGCAGCTGTAGCCAGTCAGCAGCCTGTCCGTGTTGACCACCCTCACACACACACACACACATATACACAAACACATGCACACACAGACACACACACACACTAACAGCAGGCCATGTAGGAGGGGAACAGAGTGAAGGACACAGCACCTCCACACTTTTACTCCCCACGGGTTCAGCCCAACACCACATGTGTAATATAAATGTGTGGGGGGTGAACAGAGTGAAGACACTGAAAATGGGTTATTTTATATGCTCTTCACAGAAAATCAGCAAAGACCAAGAATCTGAGGTTCAAATAATAATTAATCACATCATTTTTCTTTTGGTAAAGACTGAAAATGGGTCCCACAGACCTGAACACCACACAAGTGTTAAATACGTTTATGCAATGATCTGTAGAGATGCGTCAAGAAAAATCATAACATTTTCTACTAACAAGTCAATCTGTACAACATACATAAATATGTGGAAACGTTAGCTAAAGTGTAGCATGCCGTATCACCCCTTTCAACAAACACTTTCACTTTTGATTCCAGTTTTTTTTTTTTTTTTTGTTCCAGGTCTTCATCTAATTCATTGTCGTGTCAGATCTAGCACTACTTAGCTTTCCAGTACTTTGTTATTCACAAGTTGTGCTCTTTACATGCATTATTATTGGTTTAATTCATCAGTTGGTTGAATTCATGCATCAACAACTCAGTAAGTTAAATCATTTCTCTGATCTTTATATGAGTGCATGCTTGAGACCTGCGCAAGCATAAATATATTGTTACTGTCCAAAGACAGACAAGTGGCTGCAAGGTAGGAACTTTACAGTAGAGGTCAAAAATGTTCTGAATTTTTAAATGAAACATAATGTAAAGAGATTTTAATGCAATTTTGGAACATTCCTGGTCCATTTGTCATCACATATTTAGACAATATGAAGGGCAGTTGCTGAGCTCAAATTGAGAGTGAACATAAGTGTATCATGCATAAAGTGAGTCATGCCTAAACTCTGTCCCTGCTATGAAATCAGAGTTGAGCTTGTGCAAACTACTTCTATTCTTGAACTGTGTGTGTGTGTGTGTGTGTGTGTGTGTGTGTGTGTGTGTGTGTGTGTGTGTTTGGCATGTCTGTGCATGTCCCACTATATAAGAACCAGATGTTGATCGCCTGTTACAAACACCCCACTTTCAGCTGAACCTTTCCAGTCTGTATACTGCGGATATCTCAGGATGAGGGTCAGTGTGGTTCTGCTTTTGTTCTTCTTCTGTTGTGTTCAGCTCCAGAGAGGTGATGACCAGCTCGTAGTGGGGGACGTGCAGCTTCTGAACAAGAGTCATGTGGAAAGTTCAGAGCCAGACCAAACCAGCGTCCATCCCGATGTGTGGACCGAGCTGAGAGAGCTGCGGAACATGGTGGCAGAGCTGAAGAAACAAAACACGGGTAAATCAAATGATCTGAACTGAAAAGTCTGAACTGTGAAAAACTGTAACAGAAACCCTGTCTGAACATCGGTGAAGGTCAAACCTTTTCATAAATTAGCAAATTTTAATTGAATCTGTTTGAAATATTTAGCACATTTTTAATGTTGCATATTGTTTCACATTGTTCAGCATAATAAACAGCATGAAATGTTTTTAATGACATAATGATTCATAAACCTTTGTACTTTTGTAATTTTCTGTCAAATCATAAACAACAGACAGCTGGAGTTGACCCAAGTGATTAGATGTAGGGAAAAAAGGGAAAAAAGTGCTTAAGAGTTAAATTCGCTGCTGGGTCATTAGCTTTGGCCAGAGAGTTTGAACAAATTAATAAATGAGCAAAACTTTCAGTTTAATTTCTGCGAACAAGCATGCAAAACTGGGTTAAGATCTTTTACATTTACACCATCACTTTCTAAATTGAATTTTAAATATGGAGTTAAATTGGTCAGTAAATGACAGACCTGAACTTTGACCACATTTGGTCAATTTAGATGCTTCATAATGCTTCACATACCCATGTTTTGTTTAAGATTGTTTTGTATTATGTGTCCTCCCATTATTTTGCTCAGCAATAATCTATTAAATTAAAACATGATTAAATGTGCTGTTGGTAAAAATCTATCTAAAATTTCAAAACTGAGCTTAAAGCTGAAAAAAAAAAAAATTGACAAGTGTTTGAGGGTTGTTCAAACTTTCGTATTAGTGAAACTGGTTCATTTAGTCCATAATCTGATGCATTGAAACAAACAAACAAAAAAAACAAACAAACAAACAAACATTACGCAACATATACACTCGCTTTAAACCGAAGAACAATGACATTCACAACATTGAATAACAACATTTCATATTGTTTGTGTTTGACAGCTTTGGAGGGGAGAGTGGTCTCTACTGAAGTGGGTGTGGAGGCACTGAGAGAGGAGAACGCAAGTGAGACTTTAATGTGTGGTTGGATGATTTTGCAAATACTTGAGCAACGTGATGTTTCTGCATAAACCACAAAAATACACATAGGCCAATGTTGTAAAATGGGTTTGTTTGCAGGCTCCATGTGCAGAGTAGTTTTATTAAGGACAATCCAAGACTCACAGTACATCAAAGGCAGGGGTCAAAAGACTCAAAGGAAATAGCACAAAGGAAATAGATTAGCAGAAGTCAGGGGAACAGGTAAGAGTTAAACACAGAAAAATACCAGCACTAAAAATACCAGTACTATGGAACACTGCTCAGAATTTAGTTAAATACACAGAGACTTCACAAAGCCTGTTGTTGGAAGAAAACCTCATATCTCCAAATGATAATTTTACAGGAGAAGGAAAAAACCTACTTTACTTTTAATGTAAGTCAATGGAACCAGACTCTTTCCCAAATAATTTTGGGCCATTTCTTTTGGTCCATTCATCATGAAATTTACACACAATGTAAAGAACAACAGGCTTTTTTTTAAATTATGTCAAAAAGTGAAAAACAACAAAAATGGAGATACAAGGTTTTCTTCTGACAACAGAGATATGCGAAGATGTATGTATGTACATAAATTACCTGCAGGTGTGTGTAATGATGGAGGGGTGGAGGCAGGGAGGTGCAGGAGCTGGCAGATCCAAATGACGTCTCCCTGAGTGAGGAGAACAAAAAGAGCTTAAAAGTGATGTTACAGTGATGTTATTTCGCAGCGACTTTGACAGCTGTAGGAGACGCTCAAGTCATTTGAACATTTTTACTTCTTACTTTGCCACAAACAGAAAATGGACACTTTTAAGATCACATTTGACCGACAGCCGATTTGGTCAGACTCTGAAGATGAGACGACACTAAATTCCCAAACTGTCATCACCACTGAGCAGCTTTTCAGTCGGCAGCTGAGACAGAAGAACAGCTAAACAACCTGGAATCAGCCAGAAATGAACCAAATACCATTCGCCAAACTAAATGGGCTGTAAGATGCTTTACAGACTGGCTGGAACAAAACAACATTAATACTGATCTGGCAAAAACTGACAAAACTGAGCTAAACTTGATATTGCTGCAGTTTTATGGCTCAGTCTGTACTTCAAAAGGCAGACTGTGCAGCGAGTGGGCGGAGTTTGTTACTCTGACGTAGCAACAAGCTGCTTGTTAAGGAACTATAATTTGGTGAAGGAACTGCGAACATTAAAACATATTAAACGCCGCGTTCACGGCCCAGTTTATTAATTTATTACTTTATTTATTTAACGGTTGTATAAAAGCAGTAGAACACTCGAGGTCATTTGTTATTACGAATAACATCACGACTGTGATGATCTACGGCGACCAAATCACAGCCATGATGTTATTTCATGATAACACACTCCCTCTCGTGTTCAGTTGCTTAAACATCATACGAATATGCATAAAAATATTTAATCTCAAATGTTCTCAAAATCAACATTATACTGATGAAGATGTGATGACAATAGAAGATAATTCACTCACATCCTCTGAAGACGCTCCTTCACCAAGATTAGACTCTCTGAATTCTCTTTCAATCATATTCATCAGCTCAGGAAACAGAAGGGGTCACAAGCACATCCCATGCTACAAAATGTTCTTATATGTTTCCACCAGAGAGGTCTCCAAATCCCCCAAACTTACAAAGTGCAGCTTTTAATATGGAAAAAGACCTCACAGCTCGGACACCATACTGGTTTTCAGCAAAGAGATCACAAATATTGGAAACGCATTCAGTCCAATCACAGGTAAATGCACAGTCAGTACAGAGACGGTGTCTGATGTCTGGTTTGGTTCTTCTCTCTGGTGGTGTAGAGACTCTGTACTGATCCATCTGTTTCTCCTTCTGCAGGTGTTTTCACTGCTCCACTCAGAGGAGTCTATTACTTCAGGTTTAATTTAGTTGGTAACAGCGAGTCAAACATGCTGGCCGTATGTTTGTTTAAAAATAAAGAGAAAATTTTAGACGTGAGTCAAATCCCGAATGGATTGAATAAGTACGCCGTTGGTGGAGCCACTCTGCTGCTGCAGAAAGGGGATCATGTGTATGTTAAGCTCAGAAGTAACAGTCAGATAAGTGACAACAGTGACAACCATTGTACTTTCAGTGGTTTTCTGCTGTTTGCAATGTGAAATGCTTTTAGTGGCTAGGAGAAAGAGGGACCAGCACAGCTTTGATGTCATACTCATCATGTGGCTTTGTTTTTATATATATATATATGCTGAATTTCTTTCATATATGTGTTCTAATCAAAAATGCATTCCAAGTTCAAGAATATACTGCAGATTTTCTATTTACCAAATACTGTTTAGAATACATTTAAAATGTGGCCTGCAGTTTTAAAATGCAGGAGACCTTATTAAACAGTGTGATTCTTTCTTCTATATTTGATATATTTTGTGTCAGTACTCTTTTGCTTTATTATATTCTTTGCATTCCTTGCCCTTTTTATTCATCCAAAAATGAATGTAACAAATACATTTTGGACCACAGAAGTGTGTTGAGTTTATTTCCTACACTGATGTTTGTCATTGAAAGCGAGTGGCACTAAGAAAACTTTCAGAGATCATGTGATCAAAATGGCTTCATTCAGGTGACGTCATTAAAGTGTGAGCGTTGATCTCACAGGAAGGGTTAGGATTAAGTTTTGGGTTGATTTTAAGGTTAGGGTTAGGATTAGGGCCAGGGTGAGGGTTAGGTTTTGTGCAATGGAAGTAACATTATCTATACGTCAACCAATTAACAATACCTCTACTTAATGTAAGTAATGTATCAACAGAACATCTACAAGATATTTACTTCAGTGTATTCAGATGCTTCACTACTGATACTTCACTGGTGTGTTGTTGATGTGTTACTGATACTCAGTTAAGAGTTTATGAATCATCTACAAAGGATCACTTCAAATAAAGTGTTACCAAAATATGCAATAGAATAAACTTAGAACTTTCAGGACAGAGAAAAAACATATTATTATAAAAATGTGCTCACAAGCAAATATCAGTGGAATCACAATGCATCTTAATTAATATAAACACACACGTCATCGCTGTCAGACAAAACCTCAGATCTCCAATATAGTAACTATTCAGGTGAATTTTCAATGGAATTTAATGTAAAAAAAAAAGATTACAAGTCATTTTGGACAATGTCCAATGTTCATCATGAGGCTTTCACACAGTGCAAGGAGCAGCTGTTGTTTACAAATGATCTACATTTACAAATCTCACTAATTAAAACAATTGAAACATATTTGACTCTGATACTATATTCTTGTATCTAATCTGCAGTAATAAACTGTAGTCATAAACTACAGCAGTAACAAATGATGTGTAATCAACCGTAAACACACACACAGTTCCCTAGATGGTGGGTGGGAAACACCTTAGACGACCTCAATCCGGGGGAACGTGTTGCGCCACTGAAGCAGCTGGTCCAGGCAGCCTCATAGCTGCGGGGTTGCGTCACTCAAGCAGCTCGTCCAAGCAGCTTTGTAGCTGCTGTGTTGCTTCTCTGAAGCAGCTGGTCCAGACAGTTTCACGGCTAACTTGTTAACTACCAATGCATCGTGCATCTTCCTCTAACTTACAGGTTCCCAAACCTGGTCTAGGAGCTCCCCCACATTGTAGTGTTTTTCCTGCTCCCAACACTCCCAGTTCAAATCAATCAGGCTTGTTATTGAGCTGATTAGTTCTGCTTGACTTGTGTTCATCTCCATTAAATTTTGAAATTTTGTTGTTGTTTTTTTTTTCTCAAACAACTTTTTTTTTTTTTCCAGTAAATTGAATACTTTATCAATGACAGTAATTTATATTCATTATTGCAGTCCAGGTTCTAGATTAATTAAAGTGTTTTAACAAGTGGATAATAATGAATGTTCATATTGTTTGACATGGTTCCACATTATTTGGGCTGTTCTGTAATTATTCATAAGGTTAAAGGTTGTGCCACTTTGGTTTCCTTTGTTATAATGTTTAACAGGCTGATGGTCAGCGAGAGCCAAGTGGAGAAACTGAAGCAGGACAATGCAGGTAGAGGACAAACTGAATTAAAAGTATTAAAAAAGGAAATAAAAATTTGTTTCCAATTTTTTTAAATCTAACATTAGAGGTCCTGAATCACTAATTGTTGGGTTTGCTGAACTGAAAATGTCCCTTTTTTGCAGAATCTATATTTCCTGTTGATTCAAATATAATAATACAGCCACATGCAAAACCTTTGGCACCCCTTGACAAATGTTTGTGAAAATAATGTAATGCGTCCTCTATAGAGAACACAATTCCACACATTTTAATGCACAGTTAGTGTTTACTTGCTGAATGTAACATATCAACTTGTAATACATCAGAACATGTGGCCTGTACATAAGTTATGGCACCTATTTTGTTTTTTGAAGCTGAGAGCTGATCAGAGTTAATTATCTTCTCAGCGAAGCTCGTTCTGCTCGTTAGTTTGTGCTGATGATGATCGTGATTCATTCATGTGTCGTTACTGAGTAGGATGAGCTCATGAGGGTCATTTCAGGACGCTGGTTTGTCACATTAATGACAGATTTGAATCACTTACCTAAACGAGTGTGAACCATTGTGTCAGAGAGATCAGATTGGAGCAAAAAAAATCTGGATTTGAGCAACGAGGCTTGTAATGTGAATGTAGCCAAAAATGCTGATGTGCAATGTGCTATTTACATTATGTGCTATGTAAATAGTTTAATAATGTATAGTGGTGCGAAAGCGCAGTTACACACTTCCACCAGAGAGGTCCACAATCCACAAAATCAACACAGTGTAGCTTTAAAGGCCAAGCTGAGTGAGAATTACTGCCATAGTTATAATAGCAAATGTCAGTGTTAAAAGGCTGCAAACAATAAAATGTTATTTCACTCCTTACTTGCATTGGTAGAAATCTTAAGGCAGCCACGGCTCTGATTCCTGATTGCTCCATAATCTGATCTTTCTCAGCTGGTCAGACAGTTGGCATTGTTCTGTGTGTCTCACAGCTTTGGAGGGGAGAGTGGTCTCTACTGAACTGGGCGTGGAAGGACTGAGAGAGGAGAATGCAAGTAAGACTTAAATGTTTTCTATTACTCTATTATTTTACTCATACAAGGATAGATTTGTGGGTATGGTGAGATTTTATTTTTCTTTATTTTTACTCAATTCTTTGAGTTATTAACATTTTGATTGGATTTATAGTTTATGAACAATGTTCAAACATCAGATGCTGGTCTGACATATGCTTGTTTGTGTGGATGTGTAACTATGGTGAGGAAAGTCTTCTGTAGATCTAATTTTTGCATGTGTCTTTAGTTTTTTAGTCACTTTGGGTCTTGTGATCTTGTCACTTGAGGCCCCCAAGGTCCCCTGGCAGTCAGAGGCATGTGGGCACTGGCTCAGTTAGTAATCCATCCCTGATTTTGTTATTTTTCCAAGTTTTTGCTTGCAGACAGACCAAAGGTGGTGTTCTCATCTGCTTCAGGCTTAAATGGCCACCTCGGGCCTTTCAATGTGGACACCATACTGGTTTTCAGCAAAGAGATCTCAAACATTGGAAATGTGTTCAGTCCAATCACAGGAAAATGCACAGTCAGTACAGAGACAGTGTCTGATGTCTGGTTTGGTTCTTCTCTCTGGTGGTGTAGAGACTCTGTACTGATCCATCTGTTTCTCCTTCTGCAGGTGTTTTCACTGCTCCACTCAGAGGAGTCTATTACTTCAGGTTCAGTCTATTTAATCTCAACACCTCAAACATGATGAGCGCATTTTTGTTTAAAAATGAGGAGTTTATCTTATTTGTGTCTGAACGGCCAGAAGGATCATATGAGTACATCTCCAATGCTGTGTCTCTGCTGCTGGAGAAAGGAGATCTTGTGTATATAAAGCTCGCAAGTGACCGTCAGGTTTATGATGACAGCAACAACCACTGCATTTTCAGTGGCTTTTTGCTCTTTCCCGTTTAAACGTTTTGACTGATGTGAACAAAACGATAATAGTGGAAGCAGCACACCTGAGACGTCTAAGACCTGCAAGTGTTAATACAAGCATTTACATAAACAAAATGGTGGAAATATATATATATATATATATATAATAAATGTGTCGGACACCCTACTGAGTCATTTCTTAGTAACAGCCACTGTTTATATCACGGCTTGCAGAAGCTTTTTGTAGCCAGCTAGGAGGCTTTCTATCCTTTTCACCTACTCTCCAGACACCCAACCACAAGTTTTCAATGAAGTTTAAATGCTGTAATGTCGCATAGCATCCACTGTTTTTAATGGAGGTTCGCACACCAGCGCCAAAATGGCGTTCCATGACTCCGAGTGCTGTTCAATTTCTCACCATGCCATGCAGAATTTTGCCATTACCACATTAAATTAAAGCCATATCGAGACCACAGAAAGCCATAGTAGATCACATGTGACCTGAATTTTACACAGAGGCAGTTAGTCTTTTAATTAAACAGACAGATGCTAATGCTAAGTTACCTCAGCTAAAATTACTAGCCTAGCCTTTTTCAGCTCAAAAACAGCTAGTTTGTGTGGAGGTAGTAAACGGATGCCAAGCATAATTAGTGTCACTGAACACTTTATTTGTGCCTTTGTTTTCTAGTGCTGTGTGCTTTTGTTGTGGTATTAGGTCCTCCCCTGTCCTCCCCTGACTTCAGCCTTCACCTGTTCCTCGTTTCCTAGCCCCGCTCCCTCATGAGTCTCGAGTGTTCCTTGTCTTCTGTGTTAGTATATGTACCCCTGTGTTTGCTTTGTTCCCTGGTCAGCATTGTTTGATATTTGACGTTGATGTTGCATGTTCCTGGTTTAGGTTTGTGATCTTTGTGTTCTTGTTTCGCTGCTTGTGTTTTCTTTGTGTGTGTCCAGAATTTATCAGTTTCATAATAGTTTCATAATTTATCTAGTCAGTTAAAGTTCTTAGTAGTTCCCTTTGTTACCTTGTTTTGTTGTTTTCCTCCATGGAACTTATCAGTGTTTATCTGCCTTCATGTCATCTGGATCATCCACATAAAAACAAATAAAATCAGCTTAGATGTTGTTTTGCATACTTTGGACATTGACGTTTGTCAAGAGGTCACAAAGCATTTACTTATATCCACCTATTCAGCCGACCAGCCTGGACTGCTTTTATAGTACTGATGGCCATTACAAAGCTTTTTGAAGCATCGACACAGTTGAACCACTTGCATCGGGAAATGGTTCAGTATTTTGAAGCATTTGACACCTGGCTCCATGCTGCCATCTACTGTCCAATTCAATTTCCTACAATGACTGTTTCCTATTTATTGTCATATTTCCATTGAAGCGTATTCACACACAAAAAAAACAACTTGATTACAGCACGTATGTGTTAATTTGATCATTTGGACATTAAATAAATATAACACTGACATATGATTTTCCATCTTATATTAACTATGGACACAGAAAATCGAATTAAAAATAGCCATATTTGCCCATAATG